CCAATTCCCCGAATTCCCAATTCCCCAAATTTCCAATTCCTCAAATTTCCAATTCTCCAAATTCCCAATTTCTCGAATTCCCAATTCCCCGAATTGCCAATTCCCCGAATTTCCAATTCCTCAAATTCCCAATTCCCCAAATTCCCAATTCCCCAAGTTCTAATTCCCACATTCCCAAATTCCTAACTCCCCAACCTAACCTAACCTAACTCCCGAAATGCCCAGCCCGCCAATTCCCCAATTCTAAAATTCCCAAATTCCCAATTCCTCAAATTCCCAATTCCCAAGTTCCCAACTCCTCAACTCTCTAATTCCCACATTCCCAAATTCCTAACTCCCCAACCTAACCTAACCTAACTCCCGAAATGCCCAGCCCGCCAATTCCCCAATTCTAAAATTCCAAAATTCCAACTTTCTACATTTCCAGATCACCAAGTTCATTTCCCAAAATTTGCAAAATGCACGCTTCACGTCTCAAACGTAGAATGAACACTGTCCATGAACCTAGTGAACAAGCTAGTGAAAGTCCCGAAGTACATAGAAAATCCTAGATACATCCATGCTTCGAAGTACAATGAAAGCCATAGAAGTGGTCGGACCTATAATAGCACCTTTCGTTCCGTCCCTCGCTAATTGATATCCCTGCGCAATCAAGTGTTTGGATTATCGGGCCTGGCTAGAAGTGTTTACAAAAGCTGTGAACGTCAGGCTGCTCGTGACACCGCTGTCCCACTCGTGGCAAGGCTAACTTTCCGGATTCTGGCGTGAGCAAGCACGAATATAGAATTTCATGTGGGCGCAACCACCCCTTTTTTATCGTTCCATCCCTTCGAATCGTTTCTCTGCTTTTTTTTCCTCTACCAACGTCTAGGCGCATTGTAATATCCTCAGGGTTGGTTACACTACGAAACCGACGCGTGTTTGCCAGCCAAAAACGAGAGAGATATCGGTTCCTGTCATTTGCAACACTCCTGACAGATGGGATGTCGTTGAACCTTCGAGCTTAACTTCTAGATAAGTTTAACACTGGATTTACAAAATGACAGAGTTCAGATTCCTTATATTATAAAATTTCTTACAAAATTTGTATAAAAGTGCATGTTAACCAGTTGAGTGCGTTCGACGTGTATACACGTCAGACCAAATCTCTACTGCGGTGCGTTTGACGTGTATACTCGTCGTGTAAAATAAAAAATTACCGTTCACTATAAAAACTCGAAATCTCAGTAAAATGTAATAAGAATATTATTTGGTGGTATGTTCCCTTTACATTACCAATACGACCGCTACGTATTAGGTCTACCGGAAAGTTCTGTCCGTTTTAGAATGGTTAGGTTAATTCTAAAAACGGACAGAACTTTCCGGTAGACCTAATACGTAGCGGTCGTATTGGTAATGTAAAGGGAACATACCACCAAATAATATTCTTATTACATTTTACTGAGATTTCGAGTTTTTATAGTGAACGGTAATTTTTTATTTTACACGACGAGTATACACGTCAAACGCACCGCAGTAGAGATTTGGTCTGACGTGTATACACGTCGAACGCACTCAACTGGTTAATAGTCTTCTTGGTTCCTATATTGGTTCCTTGGTTCCTATATTCCTCCACATAGTATACCACATCTTCAGATAGTATCACATTCCGATACTTAAAGATGTACTTTCAGATTTCTTCCAAATTTCTATACTTCCAGATTCTTATATGATGGTTACTCTAGGTACCTACACTTCCAGATTTTCATATCACTCGGTACATTCCTAGATCCCTATATTCCTAAATTCTTGTATTCGATTCCTATATCCTCCCTAAGTTCTCAGACCCTCCTCTTGTACCCTTAGATCCCTATGTCACCACCGTATCACAAGATTCCTACATGTCCAAATCGTATACCCCCAAATTCATACATTTCCAAACAATTCTTCTAAATTCTTATCTTCCCATTTAGGAATGTAAGAATATAAGTCTCAAGCCTGTAAACATACTCTATTAACTATTTCCTAGAATTCCTTATACATTATCGAATAAAAAAGTTACAAAAAGGATGATACTGCGATTGATCGCGAAATACGCTGTGCAACTTGATGGACGATCGTGTCGTAACTTTTATCTGGGGCAATCCATGAGTAATTCAGATGACTATACCCTTTTCTGTTTAAATATCCGAAGCGCTTGATTTATTCCTACATTTTATCTCCATTACATATGTTGACTGCTACAGACTAATTTTTCGAGACGATTTTGATCGAACACTTCATCAAATTAATTTTACACCGCGCTCGGTTCCTTGTTTTCAATTCCGCGCCCTGTGGTGACCTTTTGAAACTAAATTCCACCGTCAACTTCGTCTAGATAAAGAATTGTATTAGATAGTCTATCCCTAATTTATATAGTTACTATTTGAAAATTAATGATCATGTAAAACCAGTGTTAAACATTTAAAAACCTGAAGCTTCGAAAGCTTGAACATTTCGAGAGGAAACATAAAATTTCATGAATTTATTTAAATAAAAATCAGTCAGTTTTATTCTTGTTGGCAAAGAAAAATTTCGTTAAAATAAAATTTGAACAGACGAGCTATAACATTGTGAAAAGAGTGGCAGAAGAATTGTAAAATAATATAGAAAGGGAATTTTGTAATTGATCATTGATAAGTGTCCATGCCCGAAATTTCATGAAGTTAAAAGGTATTGATATCTTTGATACGATATACTATTGTTAATAGAAAGAAGCTTAATCACCGTTAAAACGAAGCGTACCATCTCGTTTCATGTTGACCTGAAGGCACTTGGTAAAACGACATGCCTGGCACTGATTGCGACGTGAAACGTCCACGATGCAACGGCCATTTTCCTTGCAAACGTAGTCTAGATTCCTGAACAAAGCGTTCAAACTAATATTTATTTCATGTGTTTTGAAAACAAACTAATTATAACACTCAGCATTCAATAGTATTAAAAGTCACAATCAAACTATCTACCCGTATGATAGAACATAAATGATAAAAATGTGTTATTTAAAGTTAGAAGATGTTGAGCAATACAAATCTAGGTTCAATGTAACAATTCCTATATTATAACTGATTTTCACTTGATTATATATTATAACTACAATTTGTTACAATAATGTGACAGTGCGTATTTCGCAAATTACATAAAAATAGTTACCTTGCATACCTGCGGATCGACCGCTTGAAGAAGCCGCGACATCCATCGCAGCTTGGTACTCCATAATGCTTGCCCGATGCTTTATCGCCGCAAACTTTGCATAAACTTTCACCCCGGCTGCTGTCCTCCATTTTCTCCTCGTGTCTATTCATCAAACTACGATTAGACGGAAAAATATGGTCAGAGAATGGGATTTTAGGCTGCTTGAAACTTTCGCTGAAATCGCAATCTATAAATTGTTCAAAATGGCGAAGTTTGGGAATTAGGAATTGGGAATTTAGGAACTAGGGGATCTGGGGAATTAGGAATCTAGGAAACTGGAAATCTTGGGAATTTGGAGAATTGGGAATTTGGGGAATTGGGAATTTGGGGAATTGGGATTTTGGGGAATTGGGATTTTGGGGAATGGGGAACTTGGGGAATTGGGAATTTGGGAATTTGGGAAATTGGGAATTTGGAGATTTGGGAATTTGGGGAATTGGGAATTTGGGGAATTGGGATTTTGGGGAATTGGGATTTTGGGGAATTGGGATTTTGGGGAATTGGGATTTTGGGGAATTGGGATTTTGGGGAATTGGGATTTTGGGGAATTGAGAAATTGGGAACTTGGGGAATTGGAAATTTGGGGAATTGGGAACTTGGGGAATTGGGAATTTGGGAAATTGGGAATTTGGGGAATTGTGAATTCGGGGAATTGGGAATTTGGGAATTTGGGGAATTGGGCATTTGGAGATTTGGAAATTTGGGGAATTGGGAACTTGAGGAATTGGGAACTTGGGGAATTGGAAATTTGGGGAATTGGGAACTTGGGGAATTGGGAATTTGGGGAATTGGAAATTTGGAGAATTGGAAATTTGGGGAATTGGGAATTCGGGAAATTGGGAATTTGGGGAATTGGAAATTTGAGGAATTGGAAATTTGGGAAATTGGGAAATTGGGGAATTGAAAATTTGGGGAATTGGGAATTTGTGCAATTGGAAACTTGGGAAATTGGTAATTGAAAATTTTGAGAATTGAAAATCTTAAAAATGTAGGAATTGCTAATTTTGCCAATTTTGAATTTTGATATTTTGCGATTCCATAATTTAAAATTTCCAAAACTCTAACATCTCTCCAATCTCGAATCTCCATAGCTTTGAAACGATAGAACTTTGAAATTTCTAATCTTCACGACTTTCAAACCTCGAGATTTTCAAGGATTTTCAAATAATAGAGGTTTTAAATTTTTAGTTTAGTATGTAGAATTTTAGAACTCTACGAAAGAATTTCAACAACGCTACAATAAAGTTTAGATTCCATAATTTTTTGTTCATATATTTGTACCATCTGTTCATCGTCGTCGCGATCGAACTTTGTTTATCCCTGAGTAGTTTCACTCCACATAATAATCATTCGCTGACTGCCGTGAAACGACAATAACAGTTTCGCCTTACCTTAGACCACGTTACTACAACATGAATTATGTGTCAGTTTCAGCGATGCAGCAGACACGTTCTCGTGACTTACGTGCAGTTAGTGGAGGAACTTATAGTCACCGAACAACGGGTCTTTGCATATTTCAATACATAATGAGAAGTTCGATGATTGTTAAACATCGTTCACCGTCATGATGCCTCGATTTTCTCGATGCTTACGACTTACTGACTCGTTCGTATGCCAGAGCAATCCGGATATCCTAAGTAGCTGTTGCAACGTTTAATGTTTCAATCGATTCTCTAGATTACATTTAATGAATAGATTATTCTTTGAATAGCTGAGTTATATTTATTTGTACGCGCGAACGCCCTTTGCGCCCCCCAAAAAACGCAAGAGAAGAATTTGTTTAAATTTTTCGACATTTTGTAACAAATTGATGGAATTAAAAAAAATATCTTAAAATAGCCCAATCTTTCATGAATAAAACAAAGAAGAATTTAGGTAAATCGGTTGAGTAGTTTCTGAGAAAAAAATTCGTAAGCCTATCTTCGCAAAAAGGGGAAAAATGGCAAATGACACGCTTCAACAAGAAGACTTCTAGGAAGCTTTCCAAAAATGGCAGAGACTCTGGGATCGGTGCATAGCTGCACAAGGGGACTACTTTGAAGGGAATAGTAGCCAAACTTGAAACACGTGACTTTATCTGCATATACGGGACCAGTTCCGGAACTTAATGACCGCAGCTCGTATGAGTGCGTTAAAATAGGGGTTAAAATACAGCATTATGTATCAAATAAATTTCCCGACGTGATTTCTCTGAAGAATGCCGGTAATCAAGATCGATACCACGTCTCTGATTAAAGAGTTTCTAATAACTTTTTCATCACTCGTGGTGACGGTGACTTTTACACCATTATTCGTGGTTACTCCGAACGTATTGTATTTCAATAAAACCCCCCATCTCAGAATTTTTCAAAGCCATGTACACCACGGTGCCGGAGGTCAAGCTAAAAAACACCCTCTTGAACACTTCCGTTGACTTTTGCGAAACCTTGCCGATACAATTCACGGTTCTCCACCTTCTCCGTGTCCTTTCTCCCCATGAAAGCTCCCTCTTTGTCGAGGCCCTTGGGGCGACTCCGCCACGGTCTTCCACGGTCTAATAGGAGGACGTCGAGTCACCTGTAAAGTTCCCAGACTCAATAATGCATCGGTGGTAAACCACCGAGAGTCCTGGTGGATGATGCCACGTTTCACCGCACCCTTCGTCCCGAGACCAGTTTCACCGACACTGTCATTACCACCGCCAACGACCAAGAGATCTTGACTGGACGACTGACTCCAGTGCCAGTGCCAAGGGAATTGGGAATTTTGGAATTGGGGAATTTTGGAATTGGGGAGTGTTGGAATTGGGGAATTTTGGAATTGGGAAAATTAGAGAATTGGAGAATTTGGGAATTGGAGAATTTTGGAATTGGGGAATTTGGATCTGGGAAATTTGGGAATTGGAGAATTTTGGAATTGGGAATTTTGGAATTGGGGGATTTTGGAATTGGGGAGTCTTGGAATTGGGAAAATTAGAGAATTGGAGAATTTTGAAATTGGGGAATTTGGGAATTGGAGAATTTTGGAATTGGGGAATTTGGGAA